TATATATATTGGTTCTTCATCTTTTTAAAAATAGTTCGTTTACCTTTTCTACACACCAGAAAGGATGTTACACTGTTAGATAATTCACTCATAGATAGTACACCACAAGATAGTTGAGTTACTTCCATAAAGATAGTAGCCTACCCTTCAAACCAGCACCTACTGTAAAGCGGTTAGGGCGTTGTTTAAAAAAAAAAAAATTTTAGTAGAATTTTACTGCGCTCGCAACTGCATAAGGTCATATGAGCGCCAGAAGATAAGAGGTCTTACAAGACAGTTACAAACATAAAAAAGAAAAAGGGGAGATAAAGACAATAGATGTTTGATAGGAACACAGAATTCTACACCTAAGTGTAGAATTCTGTGGATAGGAAACAAGAAGATGCAAACCACACCAGAGCACCCGCCAACCACCCACTAGGCCGTTTTGCCATATCACATAGAAAACACGATTTTAATTCCCATGTGGGGAGAATTTGTATCGAGTCTTGTCTTTCTGCTGGGACGTTGTATCCCTCTAACCCCACGTGTTAGTCACTTATAGCTGTCCCCGCGGTTTCAGGCAAAAGAAATTTATGAAATTATTTTATTATGCAAACTGAGCCCCAAAAATGTGAAATTGTGCAATTCTGTTAATTTTAACAAAGATGGATAATGGAAAATAATCAGAAATTATGCAAAAAATGGTCAAATTTCGCTAAACTATGCGGGGTGCATAAAACCCCGGAGACAGTTAATAGAAAAGGGTCGAAGCAGCCTACCTCTTACATGATCTAACCTGTGCCAATGACGCACCCTATGAGAATCATTTTAAAAAAAATGCGTCCTGCCTTAACAAACTGCTCGCAAATTACAGATGTTGCCACTGGTCTGAGAAAGGAAACATTCAACGTCCCAGCAGGGAGACCGACATACTCGAAAATACATATTAAACCCTATCCATACGCCCTTGGGTCATTTTGTACCCCCGGGGTCGTATTCTTCACATTGTAGAATACTTCTATTGCGAAGATCTCTTTGAAATTGTCAGTATTTGTCAAAACTCTACCATTCACAATATATACATACATGCATAATAAATACATACATATCATACATACATATTATATATATATACCATACATACATACCATACATAC